GAGAAGCTTGCATGTCAAGCAAGTAGGTGCATGAATCCCACATCGGATGTGGGTGAAGGAAGGATCAATTTATAAGCTTCAAGCTGCTGGTCTACTAGTAACTTTGGTTAACTATTTTGGGTCTAGCGAGGACGACCACCCAAATAGTTATTAGGACAAACCTAGCAGATGGGTGTTACAGACAATATCGGAGTTTGTTTGTTATTGAACCGGGTGGAATGATAAATTCTTTTAAAGGTAAAATTATTGGTAAAAATGTGCATTCTGTTTATAATGATGTAAATGGTAAATCAGTGTGTTCCATGTGCGTTGAAGCATCAACTGAAAATGTGAAGTGGTTGTCTGGGGATTTAAATCCTAGTTGTGTCGTCTTGGTTCATGACCCAGTTGTTCACGAGGTAGTTTTGGAATCTGGGAACGAAGTGAGTGGCTTATTGATCAAACCTGTATGTTATTTGGCTTGCTGGTTTGGAATTGACGTGGCTATTGGAGTAAGTTTTTCCATTTCTAAAAGATTTGGCCAGAGATATTTTGTGATTGATCCTGGTGAAGCCACTTAATATTATACAACTGTTAGAACCTCCAACTATAACTGGGTTGAGCTTGAAAAAGAAAATGAAAATGCAAATTCAATTGTTGAAAATATCATTATCCAAGAGTCTATTGGTATTATGCACTTAAATACTACTAAAAATGGAGTTAGTGATTCCTTAAATTGTGGAATTGAAGTTGTCGATAAATTTGAGCAATTTAGTAATACTGATCTTCCAATTACAAATTTAGAAGTTTTATCTGGGAATCTAAATGAAGTAAATGGAAAGGTTATCGAAGTTGTGGATGATAATTTACTTAATGAATGCATAAGTGATCTTGGCTTGAGTTTATTTGCCTTTGAACCAGGAGGATTAGAATGCCCTATTGACGCTTCACAGTCTGCTGATGATTCTTCAGTTGATTTTGTGGTCTTAGAAAATGTTGTTAAGGAAACTGTTGGTACGACTTTTTTACTCGACACTGCTGTGGTTAATTTTGATCCTACTCATAATGGTGAAAGGATTTTTGATGATTGTTCTATGCCATTGAATGATGTTTTTGCTGGTATGGTGAGTTTGGTTGGTAAAGAGAGTGAGATAATTGTTAACAACTCTATTTGTGTGGAACGAGAATGCCATGTTTGTGTGACATGGAATGTTTTGTTTAACTCATTTTATATTGATCCTGGTGCTCACCCTTTGGGAAATTATGATAAAGTAAGAAAAGAATTCGATAAAGAGGCTAAATCTTGTGAAGATTCTGTTGATGTGTTTAGTGATGTTAAAGACAGTAATGATATGTTGTCAAGTATGTGTATCATGTTGCTAATCAGTCTACTGTTGGAGAATTTAGGTTACTGTTAAGTGGTTTTAAAGGAGGAACTACAGTCTTAGTGGCAAATCCTGATTGTATGAATTCTATGATTGATATTACTGTGTGTCCAAATGGGGAAAATGGTAATACAATAGCTGCCTTGGATGACTTTACTGGGATTCTCGTTGCTGCTATTATATATTGATAAGGTTTTGTCAAAAAGTAGCTTTTGTGCATTTGGAAATCCTGGTTCTATTCGATACTCTTGTACACAAATCTGGTATAAATCGTGGTCTAGAAAGGTGTCTATCGGTGGTGTTGAATTAAGAAGGTTGGCCATTTCTTTCGGTTTAATCCTTGAGGACAAGGATGTTTTTAGCGGCAAAGGATGGGACGGACTTTAGCTGCAGAATCTAATGGTTGTTGACGTCATTGTTTTGTGTGGAGATCATGTGAAGAAGCAGCTCAACATTGGCTTTTTTGGTAATGTGTCTTTTCAAAATTTAATTGCGGAAGATGGCATGGTTAAGCTGGGGCATTGCTATCCTGAAAAAAGTTGGCAGACCGTGGCTTCGTGTAGCGAATGTTCTTAAAGGGGTTAATGATTTTATCCTTCATGAAATTCCTTTTGAATTTTGTTTGTTTGAGAGTTCCTTTGCTACTTGTGTCACAGCTGCAATAGTCTTTGTGATTCTAGAAGTTGAGTTGGCTAAAAATAGTTCCATCCATGTTGATTATGTCAAAAGGGAATTTGGTACATCTCTGGTGTAACTTTGGGTGGAAAATTGCTTGGCTTTCTTTTGAAGTTATATTATATTTACAAAAATTGGTTAAGAATGTTAGAGATACTAAAAATGTGTGGTTATCTGGAGTGACTAAGGTCTGCGGCCACAATGGGGTGCGTTTGATTAAGGTTGGCTCTGGTAATTTATATAGAATTCCTACTGCTAAGGGTTTATTGAATGTGGCTAAGTGTTTGACTTTGATTGAAATATGTAAGCATTACATTGATGAAAGGTTTGTGAACTCCATTTCTGCGGGAGCTTCAGTAAGTGGTAGCAAAATTAGAACTAGTATTGGCACTTATCCGTGCAGAAGGGAATTTGATTTTGCTATGATTGGTAATGATTCCTTGGCCCCTAGAAACCTTGCATTAACAGTAAAAGGTTTTAACAAAGGCATTGGAGGTCTAATGTTGAGTTTAAGCAATACAAACTGTATGATTAGATCATTTGTGTGTTGGAATGAAGGAATAACTACTGATAAAATAGTTACTCTGCCTGGGCATCAACAGTTATGTGAATATTGGATCAGCAGCAGAGTTCTTCTTGGATGGTTAAGTCAGGAGTATACTCTGTATAAGGAAATTTTTTTGTGCTGGAAGTATAATTGAGGAACGACGAACCACAGCCATGAACATTCAAGGGTTATGGGAAGCTCTAAACAACCCAGCTTTGACTTTACTTCTTTCTTGTGTTGCTGAATCTGTATCAAGGCAAATTCTTGGTGGTTTCAATTGCTTAAAAATGGTGGTAACTAGACAAAATCAGCTGAAGATGAAACAGGATCAGGTCCTAATTAAGGAAGCATGCAACAATGCAGACATGTATCTTGGCAGGACTGCAAGAGTGACCGATTTTATGAGAGGTACAAGTCTTTTTGAACGAAGAATTGCAGCCAGTGTAGTAAACATCGACCCGAATTTCATTTAGATGATTGCGTGGCACATGTTAGAATCCTTTCCATGACGAAAATCACTCTTCTATTGTCATCTCTCCATAATGCTATTTTTCATTACTTTATAGTTGATATCAGTTAAAGTGTCAGATGTTAATAGCTGTTTAGAGTTGTAATAGGTAGTTTCTTTTGAAACAGTCTTGGGGACAAGACTATTTTTAAGGGGAAGGGTCTGTCATACCTTGGACTAAATTGTAAGAAAAAGAAAGCTAGTGACTTGTTGGTATTTTCTGTAACTTGTGGACTATAAATAGTCTACAAGGGGTTGGAATTGCATTATCAGAACTATTATGAGAAAATTGAATTTTTCAGTTCTCCTCCTTCTTCTTCGACTTTCAGTCCCCGAAACCCTACCCCGTCTGAATTTCTCCCCTTGTTGTAATTCTGGCCATCCAAAGGCCCTCGGGTCATGACATTACCTTAACCATTGATGAAAAATTTGGGTCGGTTTCCACAAATCAGACTGAACCCTGAACCAAGGGCCACTCGACAGAACCGAATAACGGATAGGAGTTAATGGATCAAAAATACATCCGTAAATTACCCAACAAGTCGACCCGAGGGAAGGCATTTGAGGACTTTCCTAAATTGACCCCTGGTTGATTTAGAAAGCAACCAACAAACATTTACAGGATGATCGATTTTTTCCGAATTTTTGATCGATTTCCCTTTTCTGTTAGATTTTATTTTCCCCTTCCAAATGATAAAAACTTTATTTGCTTTTTCGTCGTTGCTAAAAAACTTTTTTTTTTGGCGTATTTGCAGGTTGTTACCTTTCTCAGTGAATGAGTATAAGTAGGTTTTATTATTATTATTATTATTATTATTATTATTATTATTATATATATATATATATTGAGAAATAGCTGTCATTTGAGGCCCGCGGGAGCAAGTAAAATTATGCACTTCATTATCTCGAGGGCGGCTTTAATTTGGTTGAGATGGAAACAAGAAAATGACATAAGTAAGCTAGGGAAAAAAAGAAAAAAACAATTTTTGGTGTTGGTTGGCTTATATGTAATGAATATTTTATGAGGAAATTATAACGTTAGTCGAAACCTTAACAACCAAAATAATGTCCTAAAGTTCTATCGTGATGTGGTCTCATTTATAAATTATAATATCACCAAATTCTTTCCACCTCTTAGTTTTGGCTGCTACTAACCAATAAAATAAATACGAGATACTTTTTCCGGTCTAAATATAATAATAATTATATATATTAATTTAAAGTTTTAAACTGTACAATAATTATGATTTTCTTTTAGGGAGGAAGGAGTACAGTGACATAAATTGTTCACAGAAATATGGTTGATGTCTATAGTTAAATGAAATAGAGAATCTTATTGAAGAAAGCTTGAAGGAGTACAGGAAAACTACATGTTATTAAACCATCAGCAACGATTGGAATGCATGTCAGGTGTAACCAATAGTTACTTTCCAATTAAAGTCTAGCAATCTTTTGATAATGATCAACTGTCTCTAGATGTTAGAATATGAAATGTCAGGTGTAGCGAATTTTTCATTTGTCAAATATTCGACCATCTCTAGACATGATAATATGAAGTTGAAAAAGATATTCTCTCTGTCCTAAAATTATTGTCCAGTTTGAGATTTAACTTTTAGTACAATTTAAATTAGAATTCAAAATTCAAACTGAATAATAATTATGAGACAGAGAGAGTATTTTTTATTTTTTTTTAAATTTTCGTGTGTCTTGATCGATAACAATGACTAATTTTATCACTGAAATGTAGACAAATTAAAAAAGGTAAATTGGATTCTTGTTTATGGGTTTTTCTAAGATCATGGTTATTCGAGCCCACCAGTATACAACCCAACTTCTCTCAATTTGAAATGTCAAAACAGGCCCAATAAAAATAAAACCAAAAAAACTTTAAAATTGTAAGCGGTCTCTGTTTCATCATCATCTCAAAAATTCATCTGTTTACACTTTGTTCTTATTCACAAAATTTCCCATTCAGAAAATAAAAAGGAAAACAAAAAGATATTGGAATCCTCCAGCTCCACGAACTTCATGTAGAATAATCATTGTCATTCACACTTAAGATGAGACATTGGTCAAATAAAAAATTGGACTTGAGTTCTGTTTCCTTTTTTTTCTGCCCAGAAAGTGACAATTGCCAGAAATGCAAGTGATTCATTCTAGATTATTCAAGCTATAAATTGCATTTTTTTTTATGAACATAAACACATTCCTCACATTCGAGAGTTAAATTTAAGAGAGAATAGCGGGTGTGGCCTTGTGGGTTTTGTTTCCTTTCCTGATTTTTTCAGAGCAGAAAATGGAGGAAGTTGAGAACAAGCAAGTGATATTGAAACACTATGTAAAAGGGTTCCCAAAAGAGAGTGACATGGGAACGAGAACCACCAAGACGAAGCTCAATCTGGAGGGTTCTTCCTCGGGCCAAGTTCTTGTTAAAAATCTCTACTTGTCTTGTGACCCTTACATGAGGAACCGGATGAGCAAGACTGAAGGAAGCTATATTGACTCCTTCACCCCTGATTCTGTAAGTTTTAGGACCAATTGATTTTAGATTCCTTGTCAAGTATCCTCCTTTTTGCTTTCACTTACTGTTTCAGTTCTTGCAAATTATTGTTTTTCTTATTTGTATGATTAGAGATGGGAATGTTGTGTTACCTTATGGGATGCCAATAAATCAGCGTTTTTTCTTCCGGCTTTTTTATTCTTTTCAATAAATGATGGGCCCATAAAATAATCTGTGGGGGATTCTAATCTGTAGTTAGTTGTTGATGTTTTGTTTATTTGGTTGGATGGAATCTGTTGACTAATTGACAGAAGTAATAAATTAATTTTTCTACTGTATTTTCGAAGCTTTGCTTTTGTTACAATTAATCAGCTTTTTGGATTGATTTTGACCTATTAGTTCAAATATCGAAATTGTCAGTGAAGTTGATCTTTTGGCCTCCACTAAAACAAAATGAAATTGGGCTTGATTCCTAAATAAGGTCGTAGTGGATAAAAGCGCGGATTCTTGGGACAATTTAAAGGGTAAGTTAAATGAAACACAGTTGCAGTTCTTAGTATTGACAAAAGAAAAATTACAGGCTTCGGACACCATACTTCATTTGATGCTTTTGGGGTTGTTTGGAACTTTGGAGTGTCATCTTCAAAGGGAATCACTGAAACTCTTAACATGGAATTGCATTTTTTTAATAATTCTAAGCTGACTGATGTACATAATAAACTCAAAGTGGCTTGACTGAAACTAAATATCATAAACTTTGATGCTTGAAGATTAGGTAATGTTGCCAACAGTAGAGGCAGCAGAGCCAGTAGATCAGGTGATTTCTGAAAAATTACGTAAATTGTCATCCTAAAGACATTCGCTTTTATAGTAGCCTAGGAAAAAGGTCAGTGATGGAAGGATGATGGTTCTAAGATCTGCTGAGAGTTAAGGGAGATAGTACTTTGTCTTTAATTTGAAATAAGGAAAGTGGTTGGTTGCTGTGTTGAGTATTGCACTCTGGTGCTGTAAGCTTTCAGCTTATTATTGAAGCATATAGTGTGATGTTTGCTATATAATGTTGATGTTACACATCAGAAACCATCATAAATGAAATGCTGAGCTATAGAGGCACAAGATGCAGTAAAATGTCAGGAAGGTAAGTACCTAATGTAAACATTCTTCCCTGATATCATCACATAAAGATACAAGGAAGTGGTTCAGAATTCGGTGTATCTGGAATTATGTTAGCATCAAAATACTGTGTATCACCGTATTAGAAAGAACTTTGATAGTCGGACTTTCGACTCAACTGCTTCCTCATATAATACAAACGCTGTATTCTTTTGTGTGTTTGTTTGCTTTAGTTACATGTTTGGTGTTCGGGGCCTTTTTTAAAATATGGCAATAGATTCGTGAAATAATATGGTGTGTATGGACAGCATTTTGGTTTATGTTTTTCGTCTTTGTTTTTGGTAGAAAAGTGTTTAAAGTCATATTGGAATTAGCACTGACTCAACTGATATCTTATCAACGATGCACAATGCAGCCGATTGGTGGATATGGAGTGGGAAAGGTTTTGGATTCTACTCATCCCGACTTCCAGAAGGGTGATCTGATTTGGGGATTCACAGGTTGGGAAGAGTACAGCATAGTTAGCCCTGCTCAATTTAGTCACTTTAAAATCGAACACACGGATGTTCCTTTGTCCTACTACACTGGAATTCTGGGTAAGTTTGTCAAACCTGATTTGCTTTCCTTCTTCATCTCGTTAAATGTCGCCACGGAAGCTGTACTATTTGTTTTTATAGTTAACGATACTATCCCTGATACTAAATTCTGCATTTGCGGAAACCTTATACTTCACGTTTATGGAAAACATTATGTGTTAATGGGTTTCTACTGTGTTCTGTTTTGATGACTAGTTCAGCAGTTAGATGTTACTCCTTAAATCTCTGGTTGTTTGTCTGATTTGTTTCAAATTACTCATAGGAATGCCTGGCATGACTGCTTATGCTGGTTTTTTCAAAGTTTGTTCACCCAAGAAGGGTGAGAAAGTGTTCATATCTGCAGCTTCAGGGGCAGTTGGCCAGCTGGTTGGGCAATTTGCAAAGTCTTTTGGCTGCTATGTTGTTGGAAGTGCCGGTAGTAAAGAAAAGGTCAGTGCCTTATCATATGTTTGCCTTATAATGTTCATTTGGCCCCTGCTTTACAATCCTTGCAGGACATAAATTTTCTAAATTATTAACATTGTGTTAGTTGGCTGCGTGTACTTCTAGGATTTATAAATGCCAAACCTATGATGTAGTGATAGCAAATGTTTGACACATTGTATCTAAAGTAAGTCTCAAATCCATGGTCACATGGAAATGTTTTCTGTATTACAGCTTTCTGTAATGATAAATTGATGTATTATATATGGTGAATGAGCTTTAAGTGTTCGACTGTAGGTAACATGTAATGTGTTTGCAAAGCAAAAACTGGAGACAGGGCTGTATTCAGGACTTATATTGATTACAAAATGTAACACGTTTAAACTAAATTTAGTTCAGGCCTGGATATGTCATCCACTAGGTTAACTCTTGTCCTATTAACATTAGCCAGATCTATCAAAATACCAAAGTCGAACCTCATGAATCTACTCTTCTTTGCTGCCTTACCTCCTTTTCTTCTTGTCTTTAAGGTTGATTTGTTGAAGAGCAAATTGGGGTTTGACGATGCTTTCAACTATAAAGAAGAGCAAGACTTGGTTGCGGCACTGAAAAGGTCAGTTTTTTCTATCATACCTGAATATGCAAATTGTGTTCATGGTTTGCTTTTTGTTTAGCTCTAGCAGCATTTTGTTTTGTTTCTGTTTTTTTTCCACTCGAGGGATGTCCATCTATCGATTATTTACATCAAATTAGCGGTAGCCCTGTTTCGCCAGTCAAAAATATTTGTGTTGATAGGTACTTCCCGGAGGGCATCGATATTTACTTTGAGAATGTTGGAGGAAAGATGCTTGATGCTGTGCTTCTCAACATGAACAATCACGGCCGAATCGCAGCGTGTGGCATGATCTCGCAGTACAACCGCGAGGAACCTGAAGGTGCTCAAAACCTATTCTGCGTAGTCACCAAGCGCATCCGAATGGAGGGATTTCTGGTGTTTGATTACTACGATCAGTATCCTGAGTTCTTGGAAATGATACTTCCACTGATAAGAGAAGGGAAGATCACATACATAGAAGACATTGTTGAAGGGCTCGAGAATGCTCCAAGTGCCCTCATAGGACTTTTCTTAGGGCGCAATGTTGGCAAGCAAGTGGTAGCTATCACTTCTGTGTAATTAATGTTCATAGTGTCGAAGTCTTTCCTTTCCTGGTTTGGTGTTTTTGTTTGGTCTTGAGATGTAACAAACTAAAACCATTTTATTTCTGAATGGGTTTTGAAAATAAACGAGAGCAATGTGAATAATTTAAGAATCGAAGTCAACTTACTTCCATTAAGAGTACTTGAACGAACTTCATCCAATGACTGCGTCAAATTCAGCCAATTGTTTGACAGTGGATAAATTTGCACGTTATTAACCAGTGATTAGAACATGTACTCATTTACATTGTTGAAGAGTGAAGAAGATGGATCATTAGATGACGTGCTGAGCAAACGATAAGCAAAAGATAACCAAAGGCATCCATTTGTAACCATCTTTTGTACTTGCATTTCCAAAAAATCTTTCTGGCTTGAACTTTTCTGGTTCGTCTCAAAATCTTGGGATGATTTTGAATACCCCACAAATTGATCAGCATCATGGTACTGTTAGGGAAGCCATAACCTCACACGGTGCATTCCTGTGAGGAATCGTGAGGTAACTGAGGGGTTGCCGGATACATTCTTAGTGTTTCGTTTATAACGCATCTAAGAATATAACATACCAAAGCCGATTCATCAAATAAATGTTAGTTCCCTACAGTGGTGTTGATTTCTTCTTGAGCAGTCTTCATTGTTGATGTATTGTTCAGTTATACTGATAATGCTCGCTCCATTGTCATCATTGATGTGTCTGTCCCTGCTGCCAATAAAACCTGCACAAGCATTTAAGAGATCTATCATTAACTCCAAATCAGCAACAATTTTTCCCTTATTATTGTTCGGTTCCAGACAAAATAATCCGCATTACACCAACATGTGTTTTGGTGTGAGCCAAAGTTTTATCAAATCATTATTCGAGGAAAGTTTAAGGCAAATTTTTAACTAAGAAACAAGATGTTCTTAGATTAAAATAAATTTATGATCTGAATAAGATGTCCCTCCTGTTTGAACTATGATCTTCCTGCTGTTTTCCAGACAAACAAGATGTTCTTTGAACTATGGATCTTCCTCCTGTTTTCCAGCAAAACCTCAATCAAGGTCTTGATCTTCTTTTCCCCTGTTTCCTTTACACAGTCACTACCACTGCCCTTCTTTTGATTAATTTTCATCATCTTAAACTCTTCAATCAGATCTTGTATTAATGAATGTATCCCTCTTTTCTTGAAGAACCCTGAACTTATTGTCCAATCTTGACCACCTCAAAAATGGTAAATAATCGGCCACGGTCCCCTTCCCGGAAACACTCACTGTATCTTCCACAATCTCCTTGAATCTTTTCACCTCGGAAGCATCATTCTCTCCGGAATATATCTTCCCGGCGATCATCCACATTATGACATTCAACCACTCACTCAAAAAGCAGAGTATTCATTTCCACACTCTGTTTTTCTTCAGAAGCCAGGAAAATCCTTCTCAACATCAACTTCACGCCGTCCACGCGAATCCTTTGAGGCAATTGAATCCTAGGGGATGAAAGAATCTCTAATTATATTATCTTTCGTAACTTTCGTCAGTGATCGCCGTATAGCGCGTGCATTAAGGACGTGAAATTGTATCCAAGGTATTTTCCCGAGAGAATTTCCTGGCGTTTTGCGAAGATAAGATCGCGTTCGTCAAAGGATTCTTCGGCAGCTGAAAGAGAACAAACCAAGAGGGCACGACCCGAAATCGAGCTGGCCGACGGGGCCAGAACGTTTGGAACTTATCAAATTGAATTGCCAAGAAACTGACTCATTTGAATTGCACTCCAAACCAGTAAAGGAGAAACCGAGTAACTATTTTACATAAAATGTTAATAGTTTAATGGTAAATTAAGAATAAAATGATTTGTCTGCTGGTATGCTGCTGTCCGAGAGAAATCTCTGCCGCCGCGGCCGATGGCCGGATTTGTCTGCCGCCGCCTAAATAGTCAACTCCACCACCCATGTTGACTGGTGCAGACTTGAAGCTTTTATTTCAGATCTGATTGTTGGCCGGAATGTGCGCGACCCCGTCGCTCCTCTGATGCCTTGCTGCTTCTCCTGCCGTGCCCTACCAATTAGCCTCCTGCTGCCCATAGATCTCGGCCTCCAGCCAGATCCCACATCAAGCGGCCTCTTGTCGCTGCAATCGTCGGCCTTCGACTGCGCATATCGCCGGCCTGAAAACACCCGGCTGCGCTACTCAAACTCCTGCTGCTGCACGCATCTACCAGATCTGTTTCTTGTGCTCCAAACCGGTTCGCTGGCATTCTGTTCTAAACCGGTCCGCCGGTCCATCATACCGAAGCAGATTCGTCGCCCTGCTCTTCTAAATCTGGTCCGCCGATTCATACCTCCAAAATCGGTACGCTGGTCTGCTTCATTCAAAGTCGATTCGTCGGTTCTCTAAATAAAAGACCGGTTTCCAAGAAACTGGTCATTTTGGTATAAAAATGGACTGTATCAGATTATGTGTTAGTTAGTTTAGACATGTTGACTGTCGACGCTTATACCAATGACAACTTGGAGGCAACGATTACAAATTCTCTATATATCACTCATTGTTCGGAATTCTCAAATATGCCCACCAAATGCGGCAGTCCATGAATGGTGATTTGAAGATGTGAATCATGGTGACGGAGAAAATGATTACTGCCCCGAGAAGTGTATTACCGGAGACAATTGTATTACAGGCTAGTTTTTTTTTCCGATATAGTTTACTAATTTTTAAATCACCGTCATTATATGATGGTTTCTCATTGTACGGGGTAAGTCTTAAGCACTGCCCCGAGAATTTTTTGTTCTTTTAATAATTTTCCAGGTACTTACCTGGCTTGATTAAAAAATAATAAAATAATTAAAATAAAATAAAATAATTTATATCAATGGTTTAATAATGAACCAATAAGAAAATGACACATGTCAATCGAACTTATTGGAGAGCTCAACGATTAACTTTCCTTTAATATATATATATATATATATATATATATATATATATATATTTTGATCCATATCATTCATGAGCTCTGTACTATCACAAAAAATCTTATGCCTTCATTAATTTATCATAAAAAAAGTTTTGGTGGATGGATCATGGCTTTATTAGTCAAGGGAAAATAGGAAGGTGTGGATATGTTTCAAAGACATTAACTTCAACATTTGACCAATTAACTAGGTAGTTGATACTAAATATAGTAAATAACTGAGTGAAAAATTCAAATAAATAGCATTAAAAGCCTTCTTGGACTTTATGTTTTTGGTTATTCTTGTGTCCTGAAAACATATTACAATCATCTTATTTAATTTGTAATAGGCAAATAATATTAAGATTCTAGGTACACCTTGCAAGGTGTACTTAGGCAGTGCGTGTATCACATACTTAGGAGAAAAAAGTGATCATTTTAGTCCGGATTTTTAGTTCTCACATGCGCATTTAATCATCGAAATTTATCCCCATTTTTTTAGCATTTAATCCCCATAATTTTATCATCTTTTTTTTTAGCATTTAACTCCTTGATCTTATCCCTTTTATTTTGACGCGCGTTTAATTTTAAATTTTTTTTTACTTATCATGTTAGCTTTTATATTATTTATTTCATGACATAATTTTTTTACAACGATAGATTTTATTTTAGTAAAATTGACTATGGTTAATCATTGAGACTTATGAATATGGAGAATCAATGTGTATTTTCCTAGTAATGAATAGCCAACATTTAGACAATGAATAATGTTATGCAATTATTGAAAGATGATTGATGTAGAATGTATTTGTTTTAATGATGAATATACATGCATAAGGTTATGCGTATTATATGGTTAATGATGAACAGGAATTTCATTGTTGTTTTCTGACCGATGGTGTATTGTCTTATTACGTTTTTATGATGAATATCTTACGTTAATTAATGAATAACGAGTTCTTATTGATGAATAATTGGACGATGTTTCAACTCTGAGGAAGAGGCTTTTACTGCTTATAATTCTAGTGCATTGTTTTTTCAATAAAAAGGTTCAAAGATTGGAAAATGTCCAAATCTGGTGTTGTATATTAGAAACAATTTGCATGTAGCAAACAAGGAGTAAAAAATTCATGAGGTAGATGATATACAATAATGAATAATTATACCAAACTGATGAATACGGCAATTTCAACAATGAATAATTATACCAAACTGATGAATAATACAAAGATCTACTAATTTACCAAGAAAATAATACTAGTTTACAAAACTACTGAATAACCCTCTATATCAATGTCTACACTTATTGTGGTTTGGTTTTTTTGCAGATTCAGATATCCTGCTTCTTTTGGCTTCTGATTGTTGTTCTTCGCTCATGATTCTTTCAGATTCTGTCTGATATTCTTCGCTTAAGCTACAATATGTTTACAAATTCCATGAATAACTTGTTAGATGTGATGAATTTTTTAGTGTGTTTCTTAATATCAACGTATCAGATGTATCACAAACTTAATGAATGACTGTTCGATGAATTAATGAATAAATATATATAGATGATGAATAATCTGGGATTACGAAATCGGAAAATTAATAATAATTGCTGACCCAATGAATAACATCCCTTTACGGATGATTATCCCAAAACAAATTTTACAACAAATTATGATGAATACCAATTACCAAATTGATGCACAAATTTAACGAATAAATAACACATAGTTGTGATAAACGATGAATCCGACAATTTCAACAATGAATAATACAAAGATCTAGTAATTTACCAAAAAAATAATACTACATAGTTATGGTAAACGATGAATCTGACAATTTCAACAATGAATAATTATACCAAACTGATGAATAATACAAATATCTACTAATTTATCAAAAAAATAATACTACATAGTTATGGTAAATGATGAATCTGACAATTTCAACAATGAATAATTATACCAACCTGATGAATAATACAAAAATCTACCAATTTCCCAGAAAAACAACATCCAATAGAAGAACAAAACTCTAAAATTGATGAACAAACATCGTCAATCGAGTGAATATACCTTAGACCTACAGAACCTAAACAAAAAAAAAAACACAAATGGTTGAATATGAAGAAAACTTTAAACTTGATGAACAGATTTGCATAATCAAATGCATATACAGTAAATCTACAAAACCCATCAAAAAACACATCAATAGTCCAAAAGATTAATAGTATTACCTTCGTTCATCTTCACTTTCCAAACTACTTCTGTTCGGTTCAGGATCCTCAATCAGTGGTTTCTACGTGGATGAATTTTGTTTATGTATTACTATAAATCGCATCTTGAACAGAGTATATTTCAACAATTTTCACTGGATTTGATGCACAATCTGATTCCGTCCCAAAAAATCCAGCCGACGAGAGGTTTTCTGGCCAAATCGTTGTAGAGAAAATTTAGTTTTTTTAGTTTTTTTGTTTGAGACGGATTGTGATGAATGGGGTGGAAGATGGATATGGTTAATGGCTGAAAATTAGGAGGAAATGGTGGGATTTGAAATTCCAAAAATCGCACAAAATGGAGAATTCAATGGGATTATTGTAAATATTAAGAGATGTCCATTTTTGGGTCGCGTGAGACTAACACTAAGTACACCATACTAGGTGTATCTAGGATACCTATATTATAATTGTTTGTATTACACTATTACTAAAGAGACTATCAACTAATTAGGACGTACAAATTTCAAATAACAGGTTAGCATCTTTTTTTATTAAAAAAATAAATCTATATATACCTTAGTGGCTAGCTTCTTTTCTCCAACGAAATTTGACAAAGTATCACATAACTGAGTGAAGCATAAATGAGGAAATTATTGGGTTCTTTTTTGTTGCTCTTTCTCCTTCTAGTTTCCAGTAAGACTGCTATATTTCGAGAAATGGTTGAAATCTAATTTGCAAACAAAAGAAGTATACTCCCTCTATCTTAAAATTACTGTCCAGTTTGAATTTTCACTTTATTACAATTTGAACTAAAAATAAAAATCCAAACTTAGAACATAATTTCGGGACAGAAAGCAAAAATAATTTTAAATTCGTGTAAAATTGAGTTGTAAAACTCATCCTTTTAATTTGCTTGTTGCCCATTAGAAATTTATATGAACTAATCATTTATATTTCTTTTTTAACTCAAAAATCGCAGATGACATGGTGGTAATGGAAGCTGAAGCGGAGCAGTGCTTAGTACCCTCGCAGAGCTATAAAAGTGTGCATTTTTAGGATGAACTGTATACATGGTTGCAACAAAGATGGTTATTCCGATGGGAAATGAAAGTTACTCAAATGCTATTGCATCACGGAATGTACTGCTACATGATATTTACAAGTTTATTTGAGTCAAATATTTTTTGTCCAAAATGAAGGGAAAAAAGAAAACGGAAAAAAAAGGAGAAGAGGAAATTACGATTATGTAACTTTAGCTTCTTCTTCAATTAATGAGAGAGTCCCTTATTTTATTTGAATCCTTTTTATAATTTCATATGTTATTTAAACAAAATTAGATTTCTAATTTTCCACTTATGCTCTTAGAACGATACTCATTGAAAACAACAAATTATGTTTCGTATATAAAAATAAGAATCGTGATCGTCAAAATAAAAATTAAGATTCAGAGCAATATTTATAGTTTTTACCGGATACACCCTCGATGATATCACTCTTTTTTTTAAGCAAATATACATTAAACTTGTTGGAAATCAGCCAGCTCTGAATGCTACCAACAACTTGGTATCATTGACTTCAACTAGCTTTGAGGATTTGTCCGTCAAACTAGCTATCTGATTCTTCCAGAGTAAACGAATATCGCGGATGTCCATTGACCTCTCCTTAATCAGACAAGGGCAACATGAGAGTCTGACCGACTTCCATAGACGGTTCATACAAGAAACCTTGCAGGTCAGCAACATCGATGATCGGGATGTTCGCAATGGATTCATCCAAGGTCTTAACCCCTTTGGAAAATCCTCAATGTTGCGAGTCAAGCTCTCGACTAAGCCCCCCAATAATGCTCAGGAGATGTGGGCCATTGTCGAGAACCACATACAATGAGAACACACACTCAAAAGATCCCAGGAATCTTTCGCGTCGGTAGGACTAAGGGACAAGCAAAAAATCCCCATGGAAAACAAACCGGCACTGCCCAAGATGGATAGGCAATTAACACCATTAACCAAGCCGCGGCGAAAAATCCTCCAGATCCATAAGGACGAGTTACCAGTCCCGAAACCCTGGACACCTAATCCAAACAGATCAACAGAACAATTTTGTGAGTATCACAAAGATCACGTCTATGACACGGAGGATTGTCGAGAACTTAAGAGGGAAATCGAGAACGGGGTCAAGTCTGGCAAGTTTCAACAGTACGTACAAGGAGCCTCTCGGCAGAAGAATAACAGACCCCAATAACGAAATTACCCTAAAAGAAACTTCAAAGGGCCGCCACGGGGAGACGGCCGGGGGAACAGTTGGCAACCGAGAGCCAACACCTAACAACAACCTCATCAAATTACTGAAGCTGCACCGCAGCCACTCCAGCAACTCCCCCCAGCAGATCCAACGAAGCTGATCACTCACAAGGTAGGAGCTATTTACGGAGCTACCCTTGAAGTCTTATCCACCACGGCCATGAAGAACTCATTGCGGGCCGTC